GCCTCCCTCAGGCTACAAGGCTGGCTGAGCCTTCACAGGAGGCAGAGCTGCTCTCAGCCTCAGGCGCGGGCGGCCAGGGCCCACCTCCCGCCTCCCCGTCCTCTCCTTGCAAAGCCAGAGAACTTCCTCTGTCACCACCAAGACCGTCAGCTATTGTCCACTCACCCCGACGTGAAGAACCTTCTTTAAATACGTCACATGGAATTTTCTGAAACAAAAACGAAGCAGAAACCGCACCAGGAACAGGAGCAGGGGACAGACCCGTCCGGGTAACAACTGTGACACTCAGCAAGCCAGACACGAAAAGGACCACCTGAAAAAAAATAGGTCCCGGAGACCCACGTTTTAAAAAAACAATACTTGACTGCGTTTGAAATTGTCTGTTTTTTCCTGCAAAACACCACGAGGTTTGGCAAAAAAAAAAAAAAAATGTCAGAGAAGAAATCCCAGGTTTAGAAAACACCGGACGAGGAGAAGGAAAGCTGGAACCCAGCTGGCCTCGCCGGAAACAGGTCGCGCCACCCGTGTTGTTGTGTGGACGTTCGCTGCACACGTTGAAGCTGTTTAAAAAGAGCTGCGAGTGGCGGGAGGTCTGGTTCCCGCCCGTCCGGCCTCGCACCCCGGTTCCAGGCGCAGAGCGGGGGTCCCCGGTGGCCAGGGTGGGCGTGTCCAGCGGAAGGAGCTCGGACCCTCCCTGGGCCTCCCTCCTGGTCAGCGACAGATCCCTGTTCTAGGGTGCAGCGGGCCTCCAGGTGGCCCCAAAGCCTCTCCCCGCAGTCCCATGGCGGGGGGCGGGGGGAACGACCCCATGCAGAGTGGGGCCAACTCAGGGAGGGGGAAGGGCCTTGGGGAACGTGGTGACAGCGCCGCAAATCTCCAAGAGACCCCCCCGACGCTTGGGGGCGCTTCGCTGTCTGACTGTGTGTGTGCGTGCGTGTGTGTCTACCTACCTAGCAACCTATCCGTATATGGTTATGTTTGTGGAAATGTGGGGGCCACGGAGGCGGAGGGGCGGGGCGGGGGGACGTTCTCCAGGCCCCGTTTTCTGGC